CTCTGCTCTGATTTACTACTGTAGCTGGGAAAAATAGAACCAGATGTTGACTCTGCACATGCGCACCGCTCTAGTGAGCATGCGCAGTGGAGGCAGCGACCGTGATACCGCTTTTGCGTGGTACTAAGATTTATCCGACACTGTTGAAGCTAGTCTCGTTTCAAGTTTTGGAGGATTTTCAGATTTTTTTTTAATGGAGAAGTGTTGGCGGCCACTGAAAGTAACGTGGCGGGCCGCATCTGGCCGCGGGCCGTAGTTTGCCCACCCCTGCCCTAGGCTCATAGGGGCATATAAGCTGGGTTTTATAATAATACATGCGGAAATAATACACCTCTATTCATGTAAACTATAGAAATGTTGACCTATATACAAAGAATGAGACAACAATGACAAATATTGTCAATAGGTCAATAGCTCCTGATATTATCTGTGAATTGTGCGTGTTGCATGACTTACTTATGTTACGCTATCACTTGTGGCCAGGCTAAAAAATGATTTTGTTGAGGAAACGCATTTTTGTGACTTCTGAAAAATTGTTCCTAATGAACATTTTAAAGACACTGACGCACGCACTAGCGGCTAACCCCATTGCAACCCCTGTACTGCATTGCATCATCTATGCTATGGCGCAGTAACCTATTTCTCGTCGCCACACTATACTTGTGTAATGTAGATTGTACCTAAACAATTTTGCAGTAGCAAACAGTACTTTGCTCTGTCTCTTTATCGTTTCTTATGTTGAAATTATAATCGCGTGGTGTCGATATTTCGGCACAGTGTCACTCGCGACGCACGTCGTGTCGATATTTCGGCACAGTGTGTCACACGACGCGCGTCATGTCGATATTTCGGCACAGTCTCACTCGCGAAGCACGTCGTGTCGATATTTGGGCACAGTGTGACTCGCGACGCGCGTCGTCTCGATATTTCGGCACAGTCGCAGTGGCGACGCACGTCGTGTCGATATTTCAGCACAGTGTCACTCGCGACGCGCGTCGTGTCGATATTTCGGCACAGTGTCACTCGCGACGCACGTCGTGTCGATATTTCGGCACAGTGTCACTCGCGACGCACGTCGTGTAGATATTTCGGCACAGTGTCACTCGCGATGCACGTCATCTAGATATTTCGGCACAGTGTCACTCGCGACGCACGTCGTGTGGATATTTCGGCACAGTGTCTGCTTTGTACTGTATCACTGAAAAACTACTGGACATTGACATTGAGATTTAGTGTAGATGAGTGTTATCTCAGCCTTACACATAGAAATAGTATGCAACTCGTTGCCCTTGGCTTTACAAAAATATATTCATATGAAAACAGGGACAGAAGGGAGATCTTGTGCATTTTCGTGTCTAATGGGACCGCACTGGTCCATTTCAGGGACTTTGTTATGATATCATTGCAGACTATACTAAGTATTATTTGCGCTAAGACATGTTACAACGCTTAGACATGTGTGCGGTATGAACGTTCTTTTGCTTTTGCACATGGAGAAATACATCGCAATTTTATATAGTACAGAGTTGCGTTAAAGGATAGAGATCATGTCGAGGTCGGACACGACAGTAATGAAGATGATCGTATCATATCAGCGTCCTGTACATGATCTGTAGCCTTCAACGCCAATGGCGACTGTGAACAACAACATTGTCGAATAACTATAATAATTATGTTCACTATTCAAATGTTATCTCACCGATGAAAAATGATCCTTGCTCCTTTTGGACTCATTACATCTAAACACGTTAGAGTTGTATACACTACAATACGGTGGCATGATATATCGATGGATTCAATATGGATGGATATGGATGAAATATCGCAACCTATATGGCCATCGCAATATGCAGAAATGATACATACTAGCCCAAGTACCCAAGTACTGTCAAGATGCATACTGGAACCCAAGTACTCTAAATACCGGAACCCAAGTACTCTAAATTACCATGGATACAGCTAGACTGGTGGCGACTTTCACTTGGCTACAATGAACTCAGTTAGTCTAGCGTGTAGAACTGTCGACCAGGGAGCAGTCTACCTTAGCGGCCGGAGCCGCGCGAACAAAAACTCGGTGAAATTGCCATGAACATGGTCTCGTTGCGCCATCTATGAGACGCAATATGTACGAGAATAATGTCAGGGCATGAAATACCCAACATGGAAACTCGCTTTTCTAAAGGAAAACGAAACACGCCGACCAGCAAACGAGCAATTACGAGCAATTCTATTCACTCTCTCCCTACGTGCGTAGTGAAAAGGCTTGTGGAATCGCCCCAACTGCTGAATTGAGCGATTATATGGCCTTTATCCTTTACCTAAAGGACCTGGGTAAGCTTGTTGGAGTGGGAGCAGCGAAAATGTGTTAGATCGCCGCGAGGCGGCGTTTTCGCGCTTCGCGCGGATATCCGGCTGCAGATCGTCTAGGTACTGCCTTCACGTGTCTCATGCAGTAATGCACACACACATATAATAACCGATTGCTTGGCCAATAAACAAGACTGCAACTGCACCATTCTGCGTACACCGACTGACTGAAGAATGGCTTTTGCAAATGAATAACTCGATACCTTCAATTTAAAGAGGCGATAATAACGGCTTCAAACGCCTTTTACTATTATTTTTCTTTCGAGCATCAATTAATTTGAATTCATACTCACTTTAAAATTAACATTGCTTGCAGTGACATGTTAAAATGTATGTCACTGTGTGTTGAACTGACTATGTCACGAATAAATCGGAAAACTGCACAAGTGTACAGACTAATTGGGTCTCACCTATTAGCGGACGTTTTACCGATTACTCCAGCACAACAATCACCACAAATTCGTGCTGTTGTGAACTATAAAACAGCAGATGAACATCAAACGTGCGCCCACTATCTTCAGATTCGCGCAGTCTGCACTAAAAACTTCCACCCTCATTGGCCCAGCGGGCTTGTAGAAATGTATAATTCACTGGCCCACACTAGGTTTTACAGGCCCGAATCAATGATCATTATATTATGAAAAGAGAAACAGAACTCTTTGGTGTATTCTTAGAGATTTATTATTTCATGAAATTGAAAAAAAGAATTATCCACTTCCCTCTCATTGTCATTGTCATCGTACTCATCATCATCACGCTCATTCATAATCAGAAAGCTCATTTCGACTTCGAACAGTAACTTAGCCAACACGTTCAAGGCCACGTTGAAAACCAGAACCGAAAACCGGAAGTTGTTGCGACCCCTAGCGGCGACAAACACACATGGTGTTGACTAGTTACTTCCCCTACTTAAGATCGGGAATATGATGCCCTAAAGGCCCGCTTATGTCGGCCTTACGACCTAGTCGCCGACAAGATTTGAATATCGTACGTCAAAAACCGGCCAGATCGCCGATAAAATCATCAGCTCAACAAAACTCAACATGAGTTCTCTTACGATCGAAAATACGGTCGCCGACTGCGATCGCAGGAATAGAACATGTTCTATTTCTATGCGGCTGTCGGCGACAAATCGTGAGTGGCAGCCAATCACCGCGGCGTGTCGA